GGGGGGCGCAGCCCCAGCCATTCGCGGAGCCCAGTATGCGCACACCACCAGTGGGACAAGTTTTGCGGGTTTGCCTATTCCCTTTAGCGCGAAAGGCGCCATCGCGACCCTAGCGAGCGAGTCGCTATTTTTGGAGGAAGGGGGTGATTCTTTCTCTCCCCCCCCCCCAAATGAATTGCCCCCAGCCAGCAAGCCACCTGATTTTTGACACACAAATTTGTGTGTTAACCCCCTGCAAATAGGCAACCCACTGTAAAACGCCGCCTCCGTCATCCGGTCTTACAACCGCGCCCTTTTTAGATTAGACACGAAATGCAGTTTCAATGCAGTTCTACTACCCGGCGGAGCGACATTAAAAGAATCCTACTGGTAATCTTTGGCAAAAACAAGGAAATAAATAGTGTACGGAAATTAAGGTACGTATGGCACATTTTATTGGCACACTTCTCAGGTTAATAACCTGAATTGACTACATACAAGGCAGCTGTTACAGTGCATAATGAGATGTTTGTATCACTGGGAGATTATTATTGAGGATAGAAAGGTCTGAATTTTCATGCAGAAACCATCAAGTTCAGAATCATGAACAATTGTATAATAAACTACAATAACCTTAACAGGCATAAAAATTTTATAAGGATAACAGTTTTATAGAATTAACAAGAACAAACATTCCTAAAAACAATTGTAAATATGGCACAGTAAATATGTCTCAATAAAACGAATTGATAATGTTTGAGTACTTGACAAGTAATGCTTTGACATCATTAGTAAAAATACTTGTACTCAAACTCATTCCAATCTATCTATAAAATATTTAGTAAAGATAGCAATGCAATGAAACAAGTAAAAATAAAGTAGCAAATTCACAACCAAACAAAACAGAGAAATATAGAAAAATAAGTTTTAAAGGAATCTAATGATTTTAATCTATGGCAGTAAAACTTTCAATAAAACTATCAAAATAATGAAAGCCCTTCAGAGGCTGATCAATGATCAATAAAAAAATACTTGGCACTCTATAACACAAACAAATACAGGCAAGTGGTGGTGGTGGTGGTGGTGCAGCACACCATATTACTTGAAAGTTTAATATTTACGCCTAGCCCACAAAATAAGATTACTTCAACCTTTCTGCAGTTTACAAAGGAGTTCTAAAACCTTACATACTAGTGATGAAGTACGCCACCTGCCTCAAATTGCGTTCTTATAATTCTAATTACCTTTTGAATCTTACATAACACAATCTTCAGGAACAAAAATTCATTTAAATGACAAATTTTTAAAAGTTTGTGCTTCTTCATGAGTGATGGAAACAGCTTCCTTCCATGCCCTTCGGTTTAAGCTACATTTTTCAATTCAGCAAGCTGAAACAGAAATAGAAAACCATGTTAGTATAATTAAATTACACAATATTGTGTTATAATTATAAATGGCAAACAACACGTAAGTCAAACATCCATGCTGAGAAAACAAACCTTGAGAAAGGGCAGCCCTTTCTCAAGAACAAACAACAAAAATTAAAGAACAGAGAACATTTTTGTGTGTGCAATTAAGAAAATGAGCAAGAAAACTAAGTACATAGACTGTTTATGCAGGAATGATGTCAACACCTAGAGGCTCATACACCAGCTATTTTAGAAAATTGTGAGCATTAACTTCAGCCAAGCCTACAAAATTATCTTGATTCAGAAAAAGGCTCAACAAGGCGAAACAGCAGATAGTACAGCCAATACAAGGTTACAGCAGCTAAAAAAAGCTTTTCACAAAATCACAAACACAAATTTTTCAAACCTTGTCTGCTTGTGCATAACCACTGTTCAAAAACCAAGGTGTTTTAAAACACCTCTGTTCTCAATGTTTAAGTTGAGGATTTTGAAGGACCACCCAGTTCTTCAATCTAACCACAGACAGAAGGAATAGATGACAAACCAAAATCAAATGTGCATCCGTTACATAATTTCTTCTTCCACCACCGAGTTAGCCCCAAAACACTGCTGAGAATTTACCTCTTTTTCTTCATCAACCTCATCTTCTTCATCATCACTTCCATGGACGGACCCTCTAGGTGTTGTAGGCCGTGATGAAGAGGGAGATGGTGGTTCTGAAATAGGGCGAGGGAAGTTGAAGTTGTTGACATTTCCACTTACATCTAGGGTATCAGCCAGCTCTGGATACACTTTGCACAGGGCACTGATTCGAGATTGTCGGTAGTACTGCAACAGAGGAGACATTTTAATGTGTTTACAAATTCAAGACCTGCAAAATAGCTACACCAAGTTTCACCTCACTTACAATGCCCAAATTCCGCCAATCAAGCAAATCACTCAAACGCTCAGTACGGTTCCTTTGAATAATTCTCTGTCTTCGATTCAGACGAGAGAAGTCAAACATAAATTGAGCCAATTGTTGCACAGATTGTTCGAGGCCAATGTAACGTCTGTCTACAATATAAATTCCATAGCTCTGAGGGTCTGCAATGTGTTCTTGCATAAAGCACCCAAAACCTATGCAAGGAAAAAGAAGTTAAGAGGTTTTGAATATTAATCATGAAGGAATAATAAAATGCAATTATAGTTTTGTATGGCTACCTGACAAATTGGTGGTGATGGAGGGAATACCCATGACGGTGCATTCTGCAGGAGTGTAACCCCATGGTTCATAGTAGCTGGGGAAGACCCCCAAGTGACAACCACGGACAAACTCTTCATAATCCAAACCAAATAAGGGGTTTGTAGATGACAAAAACTCAGGGTGGAAAATAACCTAGAAAGAACAGGGTGAGATTAAAAAGAAAAGATACATAGATAAGTTAATCAACAAGACAAATCCCTACCTTAACACGGTCATGAACTGTATTAAAAAGATTGCAGCGTCGCACTGAATTCAATACAGGATCATTCCAATCATCAACTACATTGTGAGTAGTTACAGGAGGTAGACCATGTCGTTGCAGACCATATATACAACGTTTAAGCTTAACTTTGTCTTCTTTATCCAAAAGTTCATCTGTATCTGGCATTCTTCCACTGAACAGAAATAAAACAATTACAATCTGATTATTTTTCCTAAATATCTCAATATCTACAAGTTTTGCTATATTAAAGACATACCTTAGACAAACTTCATACATCTTCTTTCCTATGCTCTGCTGAATATCATGAATTGTGTCTCGTAAACTTTTAGTCACAGCATGACCACGCAAACTTTCAACATTGAAGTTGTTGGTCTTGGCAGGGAAAATAAGGAATGCAACAACAGTTGTATCAGAGTTGGCTGCCTGGAACAATAATTAACAGACTTCGAAATACAGAACTATAGGTGTAATCAACATAATTAAAAGACCCACACCCCCTGTACCTTTAGGTAGTGATTCAACCGGGCAAGTGCTTCAATGAAAATATCTGCTCCTTTGTTACCAAACTCATATCGACCAGCAATAAAGAAATACAGTGTTTTGTCCAGGTTAAAATCATAATGCCTAGGAAGAAAAATAAGAAATAATTTTTAAAAAATAAAAAAGTGATACATACAAGAAAAGATTTTGATTTGAAGACACGCACCCATAGAAATGTCCCCTAACAAACTCATGAATTTTATCTTTGGAAATGGCATGAAGATTTTGAAATTCATGAAGGGCAGAGAATTTCTTTACATTCAGTCCATTAGGAGTAAAATAGTCAGGTTTCCTTTTCAGTAAGTGCTCACATTCATATCCAGTAATTTCAGACACAGTGGTGAAAACATGGCTCAGGTGAGTTGCACACCGTTCCAGACAATATCTATGATAAATTTGTCTTTTACCAGCTTCGGCATCCACATCAAACTGTAAGAGGGAATAAGGCTTTCTAAGAATTGTTTGAAAATGTGAATCCAAACAGATACAGAAATAATGTTCTTACAGTAGATAAATTATTGTAGAAATCAATACTGCCGGCACACAGATATCTTCCCAGGAGAGTAGCATGGGTGGTAAAAACAGTTGCAACATCCACTTTTCGTGTGCGTAGAGCAACAAGACCCACTCCAGCTTGCCATTCATGGAAGTGTGCAACGACACGAGGTTGAAGACCACTGCATTCCTCAGCAGCTTTACGGAACTGTTGGAATATTAACAACAGTGAGTAAGTACTGTATGTTTTTGCAATAAAAAAGATAACATTGGAAATGGATGGCTTACCTCAGCAATGAAAGAAGCAACCATATATCCTAGAATGATAGCATCATTGGTTTCGATGTCAAGGTGAGGAATGCCAACTCCAGTTTTCTCCCACAGTTCCTGCTTGAATTCATCCAATTTCCATGCACCAGATGCAATGTCAAACAAGATCAGCTGGGGGTTTCCGTCAACAAGCCATGTTCCAGTATGAAGCTGTGAAATTTAAAACCACAAGGCTAAAAGGACAAATTCGTGATTTAAAGAAAACAAAGTGTGTTCCTGAAAATAGAACAATACCTGGTATCCTTGATCCCTCATTCTGCTAACCGCAATCTGCAATGGACCACCAGCAGGAAACTCTTGTTCTTCTACCTCTGTGCGTGCACACTGCTCTTTGTAAGGCCCCAGAAGACAATATTGGTCTCCCATTTCTTCAGTTGATACGTAAGCCTTTGATCGGATGACAGTATAAATACCACCAACTAAAACAAAGAAATAAATGAGCAAAGGGCTAAGTTTCTCAAAAATGGGGCAAATATTATCACTATCCTTGACGTTCAACAGTTTACAACCCGTACCTTTGTTGGCAACCTCCCAAGCTGCTTCAAAAGTCCATCGGTTGTCATCCATAGCAGCCTGACCTTTATCCATCACAGCTGCAAAGTCATACACACTGTCAGCGCGGTAAAACCGACGCTGAGATCTCTCTTTCGACATATTGTTGGTTGGTGCAGCAACTCTGAAATGAACAAACACAGAAGCTTTAGAAACAAGGATACAAATGATGCGAAAACAAAGATCGAGAACATGAATATTTGGTATTCTCATAAACCACACGAAACAAGTCAAACTCTTGAATCTTGTGAATCGTGACAACAGTAGGCTCCAACTATTCCCTCAAGGATTATTATCTACTGAACAATTTTATGAACCAGCAAAGAAACATGCCCAAGACATTCATTGAGCAAGCAGTACAGACACACTACCATAGACCAAAATAAAAACATCTTTCAATCCAAACATTCAGATTGTTTCGGTGAAGATGATACCTTCGCTAGCGGTGCACACGACGAGGGTGAGTACAACGTGTGGTAATGAGGTGTACGCAGTCAAATTCAAGAACTCACCCTAAAGAGAAAACCCGGAAACGTCCTGCCGGTCGTGGACGCAACTACACAAATGTTGACCTCAAAGCAACCTTGAAGGTCAAGTGCCTGGCCCACTGTTTTGCAGGTCTGGGGCTTTGGGGGGCTCGCCTTCCTCCCTCACCTCTTGTCTGTGTCTGTGTCCGTGGCACTGGCACTGGCACAGCTGACTGCAGACCGCCGACGCTGCTGCAGCCAGCAGCCGACGCTTTTATTTTTTCACGGCCCTACGAGATCTCCAATCGAGAGGATCGACGACGGAGGCGCCGGCACGAAGGGACAACGGCACCCGCGCTAGATTTCGACCGACTGCGTTGAATCCTCGCTGGCGCCCCGCACACTTTGGCGACTCTGGCTCGCTGCTTTCTTGCTCTGCAAGGTCAACGCGTCAGCCCCGCCGGCCCCGCCCACCACCCCGCACGCCGCCGGCCCCGCGGGCCGATCCTGATGAAAACAAAAATACCGTCGCGCCGCCGCCCGTCGCGCCCGCCGCTCTGGCCTAGCCAGCCTAGCCATGCGGGGGGGAGGGGGAAGGGAGGGGAGTGGCGGCGGTGGCGGCTGCTCCTCACTACTACCCCCTTCCTTCCGAAACCGCCCCTATGACGTTGGTTAGGTCTGGTGGCTGCGCCCGCCGCACCGATCACGAGCACCATTGAGGCGCCATAGGGCCTGGCAGGGGCAGAGGCGGACTGGCCCGGGCAGGAGGGCGGTAAATCCCCCCCCCCCTAAAACGGTACCATTTCAGGCCCTTTTCGAACTTGGGCCCCTGAATATAGGCAATTTCCTCCTGTATGTAGGCAAATTCCCGCCTTGGCCCCGCGGCCCCCCAGTCCGGCTATGGGCAGGGGGCGGCATTGCCTGAGGGAAGTCCCTCAGTGGCCGGGGGTGGCATCTCTCATGGCACGGTGGCATCGCCATGACAACCGGGGAGAAGGACCGGAGCGTTTGTTTGGTCAAACGTCGAGCGGTTCGAGCGTCCCCCCCTTCACAACACAAGATTCCAGGACGCTGGCCCAGACAAGTAATAACAAGTCTAGCAGGTCTGCGATCGCTGCCCGAAGATGGTGAGTGTTTGATGAGCATATATATCCAGGGAAAAACAATTTTCAATGACTTATCGCGTGTATACACACATACGGCTAGCCGCGGATAGTCGATAGGAGCGCACTATCAGAGCAAAGATTCATTTAACACTTGTGGTTTTCCTCTCGTGGCTTAATTTTTGGGGATGGGGGCGGTCCACAGGCAAAGAAAACGAAAAAGGAAAAGGCAAAAGTAGCCGCCCAAAAGGCTGAACTGGCGAGGATCGAGGCCGAAAAAGCCAAGTAAGTATACAGCAAATATGAAAATTTATAATACTTGAAACAAAAGTATTTTGTCAAAATTGAGCTCAGACTGTATGGACGGAATTATTTTCAAGGATACAAATGGTGGTGGACGAGCGGGAGCGACTTCTGAAGGACCGCGTGATGCTGGTAGACAAGGGCTGCCAGGAGGATGTGCTGCACGAGGAGCGCTGCCGACAGCTTCAGGAGACCGCCGCGCTGCTCGCTGACATCGAGGACGAGTTCGCCGCCAAGCTGAGGTCCGACCTCAGCAAACAGGAGGTGTGTAAAATGCAAGTACAGGGTGGCCCATAGAGATCCCTTCCTTTATTTTGCTAGCCGGGCTTGCCTACCCTCACTCACCATGGCTTCTTATGGCTCCGTGTAAGTATGCAACCCGCACGCACGCATGCGGTACAGTATAAGCAATATAAAGTAAGGAGTATGGACCGCCATGTATCGCATGTATAGTGGAATTGGCACCATGTCATTAATTCATTGAGGTAGGATCATTCCGAGGGTCATTCATCTGGTCGTGCATGAATTCTTCAATTCAGTGGGAGCAGTTCATGCGTTGCGACCGGCTGCCGGACCCAGCCTCACCCAGCCAGATGAACACGTACCTGTACGTATGGAGGGAGACGGATCGCCTCAACAACATCGACGAGGCCACCGTCAAGACAACGGAGGTGCTCAAGCTGCTGGACGCGTTGGGCGACCTGATCGAGGTGCCGCCCCCGAACGTCACGAAGAAGAAAGTCGACTTGTGGATAGAAGTAAGTCGAGGAGGTGGCAGGACAAGCACAATAGAGCTGTCTCATCAACTAGTCCACTCTTTCCTCCGCACACGTTTTTTCCACGCCATCCCCAACCCCCGCCCCCCGCAATGTCCTCTGGAGAGTAGTCGGAGAGCTCCTGGATTTTTTAGACAGTCCCCTAAAGACTGTCTCTACCAGAAGGAAAAGTCTTTTGGACTTCCGACTCCCGACCTTGCATAGTACAGTCCCCAAATATTTCAGTGTCTTAATCTTCGGAAAATACCGGAGTTATATCCAGTTAAGTTCTCCGAGTGGACGTTGATTGCAGATGCGGGACTTGGTGCGCGCCGAGCAGCGGGCGCACCTGGACGCGGCCGCATACCGCCTGCTGCGGCGCCTGGAGACGGACCTGGAGGCCGAGAGCCTGGAGGTCGTGCGCTACTTCCGCGCGTGCGAGCACTTCAGGCTATGCCTCTGGGCGCAGCTCATGCTGCCCGTCGCCTCCTTCAAGCCCGACGACGACACACGGTAACCACTTGGTTAAAACGATGTTGCAACAATTTCGGAATGACGTCGTCCTTTCCAGCGCCTTCCCGATATCATAAACAAAATCGCCCTTTCTCTGGGAGTTGGGAGTGACGGGGAGGGTGAAAGACCAGGCCTGTAATCGTCGACTTTTCGTTGCCACCAGGCCAGCCATCCAATGCGAGTTCCCGCAGCTGGGCGTGAGCCTGCAGCTGCCCAAGTCCCTCAACGACGTGCCGCTGGCCATCCGCGCCATGATCGTGCAGTACGACCACTACTCGGACCGGTGCCCCTCATACCACTGCGCGCCGCTGCCGTCCTCCCAGGGGCTGGGTGAGGTTAAGGATAACTTTCGACCTCGTGGGGGAAGGGGGGAAGGGGAGATCACTTCACTTTGATACCGTAGGTCTCCATGGGGTGGAGAGGGGTGTAACTTCATGGTCAATGTAAAAGGCCAATCTGGAGGTGACGAAAGAGAATAAGCCGGTAAACCCCACCCAAAAGTTGCGTGGTTATCCAAGTGTGTACGTGTCGTGTCCATTCGCAAACCTAGGGATCTTCTAGAAAGTACGTCCGTTTCGTCTCACATTCATTTGGTAAATGACGAGAGCTCGGCGCCTGCGGTACTCAGGGTAGGCCGCCCCGCAGTACACGTATGCACTGCAGGCGAGATGTTGCCTACCTACCAGGCGATGAGAGCTTGGTCTACCCTGAACTTCGCAGGTTGGGAACGGCGAATGACGAACGTACTTTCAGAATGGTTCCTTGCTGTTCTGGAGGTGGGCCTCCTGACGCCCTGGCCTGCCCTTTCCCGCAGACATGCTGAGCGCGGTGGAGGAGGAGTGCTCGATGCAGGCGTCGCTGCGCGAGGAGATCAGCGCCGAGCTGGAGCGCCGCCTGGCCGTGGTGGAGCGTCTCGTCAAGGAGGTGCAGGCGCGCCCCGCGCCCGGCACCGAGAGCAAGGACAAGCCGCCGCCGCCGCCCTCGCCGGAGCTGGACAACTACGAGACGGGCGAGCCCATCAAGTCGCCCTCGCAGATGATGAACTTCAAGGACGGCGAGCGGGAGCGCGAGCTCCGGGAGGAGCTGCGCGTTCGCCTCGCCCCGCATGAGGTGAGCGCCAGGCTGCCTCCACCCCACCGGTAGGTGCGGGCCGCGGTAGACTGACGAACGAACTCCCTCGTCGCCCAGGTGAACCTCCGCGAGATAGCGGTCCTGGGGGGCACGCTGCACCTGGACCTGGTCATGCAGCCGCCGCAGCCCCGGGACATGCGCACCCGGCTCACGATCACTGTGCGTAAGTCCAACGCCCGGGCCCGGCCAAAGAGCCCCAGTGGGCCCTCCAGCAGCGGTGTCCTCACGTCGCGCTGCTCGGCCTGCTTCCAGTGGAGGGCGCCCACACGCTGCAGCCCGTGCCGTACCACCAGCCTTACCAGCCGCCCGCGCCACCCGAGCCCGGCCAGGTGCGCCTGCCGGAGGAGATCGAGGCCGAGCTGAAGCAGTCCGAGAGGGAGCTGGAGGCCCTGGTGCTCATCAACATCCTCCTGCCGGAGACGGTGCTCTGGTTCGAGCCGCCCACCGTGGTCGGGTGGGACGAGGAGAACGGCTACTGGACCACCGAGGACTACCATGATATCAAGTTCAACGAGGAGAAGCAGGTCGGTAACGCTGCCCGGCCAGCCCCGATTACCCTACTTATCCGACTGTACTTTCTGTAACGGCGCATCGGTACACACACCCGACCGCTGCAAATGCAAGCGATAAGTGTTATCGTACGTCGGGTGCACTCGTCACGGCAAATACGTCACCAGCGATTTATTTTCGGGGCTCCTCTCCGTGACGCCATGAACGCGTTTGTAACCACTATTTCTGTCGACTTGCTTCTCATGTTACCGGGTTCGACTTGTTTGGTGTTTTGGACAGCTCCGGAGGAGACGCACTCACGGCGGGGGGTGTTACCTTATAGATCGGTACCGCTACCGCACTCACCACATATATTGAGCCGCTCAAACGATAGTGATCGTGATACGGCCCCCTCCTCGCTCCCCGCGCCCCCGCGGGCCCCCGCGCGCCCCCGCGCCCGGCGCCCTGCCCTACCCGCATCATCTGTTCGGAGATTACCCTCTGGCCCTAACGCCAAGGCTATTCCTCGCTGATAGCGGCCACATTATCCCAGCAGCGCCCCGGCGGCGGCGAGAGAGGGTGGGAGTGAGCGAGAAAGGGGGAAGGCCATTCATCGGCGAGCCCCGC